TAACGCAGTAAGACATGTAATGTTACACAGTAACAAGTGTAATGTCGCAGTAAGACATGTAATGTTACACAGTAACAAGTGTAATATCACAGTAAGAAATGTAATGTTACACAGTAACAAGTGTAATATCGCAGTAAGACATGTAATGTTACACAGTAAGTGTAATATCGCATATTACTTACAATTCTTTTAGGAAGGATGCTTCTGGTTGTGGAAACATAATGTTGTCTGTTCGTCCTATCGTACTTCCTGGATGGAAAAAGTTTATTCTCAAGTAGGTGTAGGTGCCCTCAATACTCTGACTTATATTCTGCAATAGATAAATGCATATGCAAATCAGATGTACATTTCACAGTTCATTGACAAGTCCTTCAAAATACTTAACAAGCAGACTGTCGGCTGAGATAGCTCCGCTGTTAGCAATGCACATTTTAATTAAAGAACAGAAGATATCATTAGAAATTAAGCAAATCTGAGGGAGGTCTATCTGAAGTACCTACATGTACAAAATCAAAGCAATCAGAGCTAAAAAGTAGACTTTTCAACTTTAAAAATGTTCTTAATTTCACTGTAGTTTCAATTCAACATGCAATATTATTTTACCCAAGTGAAATTCATGTCACACATGAAATTAAAATTGCTACCGTAAAATTGGGAAAAATGTTGTTAAAAGGGTGAATACTGTATTGTAAAAAGGCCAATTTTACCCTTTTCCAGAACATTTCAGACATCGTGACATAATTTCTGGTTACCCCAATTTTTGTTTTTATTTTCAGTATCCTAATTGCATAAGCCCATAATGCAAAAATAACAAACATATTTGAGGCCGCAGCTTTAATAGAAGCCGCACCCCTAACTTGAGACATTGTTTCATGTTGAAATTGACAAGTTTTTGTCCCAGGAAAAAGCCGGCAATATAAGCCGCACCCCAAACTTTCACAAACCAAACAGCCACCACATATTTCAGAAAAAGATATACCATTTAATTTTAAATTAAGGAATAATTTTTCGAACATTTCAATGATTCCTGACGCTTAGATTAGAGTCTAATTCAGGTTTTCCGTAGTCATTGACGCTTATTTTAGAGTACAGGTTCATTGTTGGTAGCGTGAATGGGTAAACTGCGTTTTGACAATGAGCTGTTATTATCCTCAAAAGTGTTAAATTCTTCTTCAATGCTCAGCTTATCTTTTGAAAACAACTAATTTCTTGATTTAAAAAAAATCATCAGACGGCTGTTTCTCAGTTGTGACCTATACCAGTGCTAACGAATTAGTCTATTCAAGAGATTGTAGTATACAGTATCGTAATCTGCAAATGCATACAAATCTATTTGTAGATATTATTTATTGTGCAGTATGTTATACAGTGTCAAATTTCGTTTGTGTACAAGTTTGTCTGTGTGTAAAAATCCGAAAGTGCGCTTAGAATCGCAACAAAGTTGCAATCGAGTGTCGTGCATCTCATTAGCATATAATTATCCCTTCTGGTCTTTGTTTTTTGAAAAAAATTCCCACTGTTACCGAAGTGAATGCTTTAATTAAAGCCCCACCAAGACTTCACGCATCTGAATTCGTCCATTGAAAAAACGAATTGTAATTAAAGCCGCCTCAATTAGGAATTTTACGGTAATCTTTGATTTAGCTCAAACTTTATCGTTAAAAAGGAATAAAATATCTCACAATACCTTGATAGTGGAGATATGGAATGGTGTAGCCATGCCGAAGACAGGTAGGATAATAGTCTCGTATTTTTTGTCAACATAAATTTTCAAATCACGCACTTCAGGTTCTTTAGGGAGCAACGATGCATGTTTGTAAGAGACATTAGACTTCCTCACTCTGTAAAAAACAACAGTTTATCATTTGTATTTTTATTTAAATGAGATTATATCTATAAATTAAGCATACACGTTTCTTTTACATACTATACATGTACTAAAAATTAACCTTATCACCACCAGTTCCCTGTTTTCGTCACAAAATAGTTCTATTTATAGTCTGCACTTTCCCCTTCAGAAGTTTGAGACAAAAATAGCCAATTTTTTTGAGTAAAAAATGAAAATTGACTCAAATTTTATATGTTGGCTCCAGAATCAGGCTACATTTCCAGAAATATTCAAGAATATTAGAAAAAAGTTCAGAAAAATTTGGGTGAGAAACTCTGGTGGTGAAAAGTTTAAACCGTTTTTCAATATTTTGGTGACATTTTTCGTCCCACACAATTACCAACCACACATTTCCGTAATTAATTTATTTCTCAGCAGTTTTTCCAATTTATATAACTCAGTTTACAACACACTCCAAAACTTACTTTACTTTTTGCTGGTCTCCTTTTGACATCACCAGTCGTTGTTTTGCTTCTTCATTAAGCTGGTGGATGAGTTCTTTCTGATGAGTTTTTCGCTTGTCTTCAGAAGATACCTCGGTCTGAGTGACAAAAAAAAAAGGAAAGAGTATGCATGATTACACATTGAAAATAGCTGACTTTTTAGCTGAAATTAAATGTGGAACCCTGTGATAATTTTTTGAATTTTAATTGTTTTTAATAGTCTGGATTGGAGAGATTGCGTAATATTGCTATGTGAGCAACAGAAGCAATGTGAATACTCAGTACTGGAATGTAGTGGAATATTTCAAAGGTCAGAAAACCAAACTGACAACAAAAGGTAACTGAATATACCATAAAAACTTTAATTTAGGCATCATTTATTGAAAATTTCAATTATTCCTGATGACTAAATTAGAGTATCATTTAGGTTTTTCATAGTCATTTTTTCTATGCGAAAGCATTATATTTATTGTGGCTACCACTAGTGTGAAAGGGTAAACAGCATTTTGACAACGAGCTGTTATCACTGTCAAAAGTGTTAAATTCATTTTCAATGCTCAGTTTATCTTTCACTCAAAGAAACCTTAGAAAGAACTCCTGTGTGCTGAGAGTATTGGAGACACATTAAAATTAATTCAAATTTTAAGATTAGCCTTTCAAACAAGAAGCTTGGCAACTAATATTTGCCTGCTATTTGAGATGCACATCATGAAAACAATATCAAAATTTATAATACATACAGAAAATACATTTGATTTTTCATCCATGGTCTTTTGTCTAATTAATTCAATTGAAATCTGATTAAGTTTCATTATAATGTGATTAATCTTAACTAAATTAGTGGAAAGCTGAAAAGTAAGTTATTAATTATGCAAATTAGGTAATTATTATAGATGTATAAAACCTAAAACTAATTAGATCATCACATTGCATTAGAGTATATATGTACCAAGATTCATTGAGTTAAGTACTTATGTACTGTCACAGACCATCTCTGTACAAAGTTTTTTTAGAAATGTGATTAGAACCAACAAATTACAGGAATCATACAAATTTGGTAATTAATATACACTGTTTTTAATCCAAAACTTATTAGGTCTGTGCATTGTCCTAGAACATCTACGTACCAAGATTTATTGAAATGGGATAATTAGTACTTGTGATATTTGTGTATAAGCCGAAAATTAACTAATTATGCAAAGTAGTTGATTAATATACACACATTTTTACTTAAAATTAATCAAATCTGCACATTAGCCCAGAGCATCTATGCACCAAGTTTCATTGAAAACCAACATACAGTTCTTGAGATATCAGTAGAACGGACATACACACATACATACACACATACAGACTAACCACAAAGACTCCCATTTTGTGCTTCGCACACAGGAGTAAAAAACTACTAATTTTTAATTTAACAAAAAGAAATGGTGGATATCGCATCGAGTGTTAAATATACTGAGTATTTTTTTTGTCATTTGTAAATACCAATTTTTCTTTAATTGACGTTACTTTTCAACATTTCTTGATGCCTATTTCAGAACCAAACAAGTCATTGTCAATGACACTTCCCCGTTCCGTTCATATTTG